GGAAAAAAAAAGAAGGAAAAGAAAGGAAAAGAAGGGAAAAGCAGGAAGAGAAAGGAGGTTAAATCTGAGCAGAACTCTCAGGGATCTGCAGGGATAGGGACCCCAGGGCACAGATGGAAATGGATTTGGGATTGGGATGGGATTCCAGGGGCCAGGGAATGGATTTGGGATGGAATTCCAGGACCCAGGGAATGGATTTGGGATGGAATCCCAGGACCCAGGGAATGCATTTATACTGGGAAGGGGCTGTGGGTGGGATTTGGGAAGGGATTCCCAGGTGGGATTCGGGCAGAGATTCCGGGTGGGATTTGGGCAGGGATTCCCGTTGGATTTGGGAAGGGATTCCTGGTGGGATTCGGGCAGGGATTCCGGGTGGGATTTGGGCAGGGATTCCCTGGTGGGATTTGGGCAGGGATTCCGGGTGGGATTCGGGCAGGGATTCCGGGTGGGATTTGGGCAGGGATTCCGGGTGGGATTTGGGCAGGGATTCCAGGTGGGATTTGGGCAGGGATTCTGGGTGGGATTTGGGAAGGGATTCCAGGTGGGATTGAGAAGGGATTCCCAGTGGGATTCGGGAAGGGATTCCCGGTGGGATTCGGGCAGGGATTCCCGGTGGGATTTGGGCAGGGATTCCCCGTGGGATTCGGGCAGGGATTCCCGGGGCTGTGGCTGTCCCGGGCGGGTTTAACCCCTTCCCCGCCGGCCCAGCCCCTCACCTGGGCGATGTAGGCCCGGAACAGGAACACGTCGCGCTGCAGGGCCTGCTCGGGGCTGCGGGGCTGCAGAGAGCAGCGGTGGGACCGGGAGCGCAGAGCCCATGGAACCCACCCCACAGAGCCCACCCCATAGAAACCTGCCCCATAGAACCCACCCCACAGAGTCTGCCCCAAAACCAGACCCCACAGACCTGCCCCACAGAAACCTGCCCCACAGAGACCTGCCCCATAGAACCCGCCCCACAGGAACCTGCCCCATAGAACCCACCCCGCAGAGCCTGCCCCATAGAAATCTGCCCCACAGAAACCTGCCCCACAGAGCCCGCCCCACAGCGAGAGCCCACAGGAACCCGCCCCATAAAATCCACCCCATACAAACCCACCCCACAGCAACAGCCCCATTAAACCAACCCCACAGAAACCTGTCCTGTAAAGCCCACCCCACAGAACCCAACCCACACAAACCCAGCCCCAAAATCTCACCCCACACAGACCCAGCCCCACACAGACCCACCCCACACGAACCCAATCCCACAGAAACCCACCCCACAGACTCACCCCACACAGACCCACCCCACAAACCCGCCCCACACAAACCC